CTTCTCTTTCTATTACTGGCCATCTCTGTTGTGTCTCTGAGAGCTTATGAGAGAGGAAGTATATCGGTACTTCCTCTGGTATGCCTGGCATTGGTCCTTCTTTATCGGGACACGGCTGGGTAAGAACTGCTCCTACACACTGCTCACTGGCATCAGTGTATAGTACCATGGGCTTGCCGAGGTCTGGGTACGTCAGCAGTGGGACGGCTGTCAACTGTTCTTTTAACGTATCAAATGCCCGTTGACAGTCCTCTGTCCACTTGAAACTAGCGTATTTCTTCGTCAGGGCTACTAGTGGTATGCCGGGACGAAGCGTCTGTAGTAACCTATAGCTCCTATAAAGCCTATTACTTGTCTCACCGTCTTAGGTTCTGGCATTTCCCTTATGACTTTCACCTTATCCATGTCGGGTTTAATACCGTCTCCGTTTATAACAAAGCCCAAATATCTAGTCTCCTCCTTCAGAAACTGACACTTCGACAATTTTAATTTTAAGCCGTGCTTTCTTAACCTTCCCAACACTTGTTTTAGATGGAAAAAGTGTTGTTCTACTGTCTCCGACAATATTAAGATATCGTCCAAATATGCCATGGCAAAGCTCTCGTATCCTCCTAACACTATTGTCATCAGCTGTTGGAAGATTCCCGGGGCATTAGCTAAACCGAATGGCATCACCCTGAACTGAAACAGTCCTAGGTGACACGCAGATGCGGCCTTCTCCTTGTCAGCCTCATCAAGGGCTACCTGCCAATACCCGGACCTCAAGTCCAACGTAGAGAAGTACTTTGCCTTCACTAATAATGCTAATATGTCATCTATTAGTGGCAATGGCACCGCCAACGGCTTCGATATAGAATTTAGTTTCCTAAAATCCACACAGAAACGGTGCCCGCCATCTTTCTTACCCACTATTACTATTGGAAAGCTCCAAGGAGAGATCGATCTTTCGATCATCCCAGCTTCCAACATCTCTTCTACTGCCTCTTCTACAAGGGGTCTTTTATGAATAGGTGTCCGGTAGGGTTTTAATTTCACAGGGGGGTGATCTCCGGTGTCGATTTTCATTTTGACTGTGTGGGTCTGGCCCAATTCCTTGTCTGACTGGGCTACCACATCTCGATTATCCCTCAGAAGACCTCCCACTCTGGTTCTAAATTGATCCGGTGCTAATATATCTTCGTCCACTATTCCTTCTGTTTGCTCTACAAGTTTTCTTCGTTCCTCTTCGAATCTCACCCGATTCAGAGTCCATAGGGGAAGCGCTTTCCCTATCTCTTCCCCTCTCCTAACCTTTATAGTCTTTTGGGCCTGGTTCACCATCATAATGGGCACTAATTCAGCTGCCTCCACCACCGTCTCACACAGAGTTACGTCATTCTCTTCTAAGCCCTTCCCTTCTACAGGGACCAACTGCAGGGATCCTTTTCCTATTTTCTTCCCTGATATTAACCTACCCTTTCCCGACACCGCCGTTCTTGTGGGTAGCTTTACATCTTCCTCCACCACTATTGTTATATCTTCTTCTGGTGGGCATCCCAATGGCGTTCTCTCGCCATTCACTATCAACACAGTGGGGTTGAACTCTATCTGGACCCTCTGGCTCCGGAGACAATCTTCTCCCAAGATTGCCTCCGTACACAGGTCGGGGGTTACGTAAAAAATTTGGGTGCTTCTTAATTTCCCAATCCTCACAGGGAGCCTCACCATCCCTTTTATCTTCAGGGGGTTCCATCTGCTTGCGTGACCTCTATGTCCGCTTCCCGTAGCCTACTCTTCCGTTTCACCCGCCTGTATGCTTCCTCTCTCAGCAATGACACAGATGCTCTTGTGTCTACCAGAGCTTTCATCGCCTTACCCCCTATCTCTGCTCTACAGGATAGCTCCTTCTCTTGCGTCAGCGAAGAGAACACTTGGGCTTTCCTCTTCCTGGGCTCCTACCTTTGGGTCAACCCAGCCATCGGCGCCGGTAGCAATAAATCACCTTCATTATTCTTACGAGGGGGAGTTCTGCGCTTTCCTCACTTGGGCGGCCCCGGCTGGACCTCTCCCAGTCTCCCGCGGCTGTTCCTAAGGATACAGCTTCTCTTCAGGTGCCCTGGTCTCCTACAAAACCAGCACCTTCTTGCCGGACAGTTCACCGCAAAGTGGCCCACCTGACCACATGTTCAACATTTTGCTCTTTTTCTCTTCAACTGGGCTAACCTCTCGTTTACTCCCGGGGGGGGGGGGGGACCTGTCCTCTACCCAAGCGGCTCCGGGGTGGCCCGCTGGCTTTTCCCTGGTCCTGTCTCTTGGGCACGGCCTTCTTTGTTAATATCGGTGGGACACCTTTTCTCAGCCCGCACCACTTGGCCAGGTGTCCCTTCTTTCCACACCTGGTGCACCTGTCCTGTTCGAAGTCTGGGGGCAAACCCCACTTCGTCGGACTTTCCGCCGCTCTGTGGTCCTCATGCACACAGGTCCAGCAGACCAGCCCGTATCTACCCGGCGTGGGCTTATAAAACTCATGCCTGGTTGACCATGCCTTTCTATTGGGGTCTTCTTCCCATACCTCAGGCTGATCTACTTCTAGCTTGACCCTCCGATTCCACGTGGGGGGTCTTCCGCCTTCCCCCCTTCTTCCGACTTCTTGACTTAGTATCTGTTTCCTTCCACACCTTTTCCCATACGCCCTGGCTCTCCTTGGCCAGCTCTACTGCTGCCGATAGTCTCAGCGGTCCCTCTTTCAGCACGTCGTGACGAACACGCTCGTCCCTTAATGTCTCCACATACAGGTCTGCTAACTGAGCCTGCATGACCGCATTGTCTCTAACCACTTCTGGGAAGGCCAATGATGACAGCTTCCCCGCTCGGGCCCCCAATTCTCCAGGGGTTTCGTCCCGCAGCTGTGTCAGCTTTAGGAGGGCCCTCATGGCCTCTATAGCCGTGCCCTCGTCGGCGAATTCCTTGGTCAATAGTCCCTTTAATCTTTCCCAAGACATGTGGGGCTCACTCTCCAAGAGCTCCTTCATAAATTCAGACGCTTTCTCCTTCGTAGCATCGTATGCCAGATACAGGGTTTCATGGTCTGTGAGTTCATATATAACTCGGCTCTTCTCCAGGATTGCCAGCCAGTTTTTGAAATCTTTCCCACTGCCGTCAAATGCTGGGACCTTCGGGCCACCCAACAACCTTCTTAGGTCAGCTGACAACCCCTGTCTAACCCCCTCTTCATCCCCCACTACTCTATCTGAATCATAGTCCGACATATTTAAAGAGAAAGACAATCTACGCAGCAACAATCGAGTTTGGGGAATCAAACAAAGTGTCCTACCTTACAGACGATTCTGTTCTCGTTCCTCTCAGTTCCCGGGTCGTTTTGAGTCCTATACGAAATTTCTCAGCAACTGCGGTCGATCCAGGATCCTGTCCTGCAGTCACGGTACTAATTGTGGCAGTGGCTGTTCCAGGGTCCTATCCTATGGTCACGGCACCAGTTGTGACGTCTCCCCCTGGTCGCAGCGCCAACTGTGACGTTCTATTCTGGTCTACCACGGCACCAGTTGTGACGTCCCAAAACAGCACCAATTGTGACGTCCTCGTCGCGGCGCCAGCTGTTAGCTCCTCGCTGCTCCGTTCGGTTGTTGCTGCTCCAAACGTGACGTCCGCCTGTCGCGTCAGTCGTGTTGTCTCGTCCTGTGACGACCAACTGGCTTGGTATCGGTCGCGGCACCCAAATGTGACGTTCTAAACTTTTGGTGATTCGGGTGGGAATATGGTTAGATTTGATATAAGCCTCGTCGTTCCCAACTCGCTTCCAACGCCTGGTTACCAAGGTAACTGCATTGATCTCCAGTCTGCCTACCCACGTTGTGAATTGATCTTAGGCAGACGAGATCAAACAGTGGTTGGGGCCGTAATGCAAACCGAGTTCAACGGGGGTGATACCACACAAATATGCATAAAAGAAAATAAAATGAAAACTCAAAAAGTTCAAAGTATCAAAGAAAAAGGTAACAAACTTTATGTCTAGTTGTTCGATACATAGGACTGCATCTATCTCCCGACCCGTTCTATGGATTGTGACACGTCGTTTTCCGTTAGGCGAGTTTTAACGCGAGAAGTTGTTTGCTCTCTAAGAAATTGGTGTGTCTTCGGACGAAAGTCGAAAAAAAAACTTATTTCGGTGGTCTGGATCTAAGTCGCTCTTCAAAATAATTGTTCTTGTGTTGAAGAGGAGTCCGGAATTTGCGTGAATTTTGGTCAGCTATCTGCGAGGCGGCTTCAACTGGAGACTGACTCTTCGCTGCAACTCCAACTCAAACTGAAATTGGAACTGGAACTCACTGGAACTGATTTCTGCTCGTTGTGGCTTCGCTTATATGGACGCCGACCAAAACCGGGATGGGTCTGTCGGCGTCGGTGTTTCCTCGATAATTCTAAATACATATCCACCACTCTGGTTATGAATTTCCATTTTTTTTCATTTTTGGGAACCTTTCCTCACTCCCACCTTCTCACCATACTTCAGAGGGCGTGAACTTCCCTCCCCACTTCTTCCTAGCAGCTTCTCATACCTACACTCTGGGTGGGCGGCGACAGCCTCCTTCGTGCGTCACGTGATCACCACTTGACCAATGATGTCTTAGTCGGGCGTGGACGAATCCGCGGCTTTGTTTCGTGGGTGGCTTTTAATTTTTCATATCTGTCCAAAGTCCTTTTAGTTGCCTGTTTTTCGTCACTTATCGAAATAACATTTTCATTTGAATTTTTCTTTCAGTCGGTCTGTAGTTGATAATAAGATGCCTTCCCAATACCAATAGTTTGTTTTCATATCCTTAGATAACACAGCCGTCGCCAAAACATATCTGATTCTTTCTTTCTTTCCCTTTCTTTTTACTCAGAATTTCCCTGTCATTGTAATGACACCTTTCGCCATTTGTTACTTATCAAAATATCCCTTATCCATTGCCTCTTAGCCGTGTGTGTGTTCTGCTTATCATCTACGATACGGTCCTTAGCCTCTCCTTTTCTTCTTTTCTTTCTTTTCTTTTTCTGCCTCGTTAAATGGTGCCACATCAGTCTATTCATATCTATCTATCTCAGTCTATTAATATCTATCTATCTATCTATCTATCTATCTATCTATCTATATATATATATATATATATATATATATATATATATATATATCAGTCTATTTGCATCTATCTGTCTATACATCCATAGATCTACCTACCTACCTATGTCATATTTTCTTCTATCTATCTATCTATCTATCTATCTGATTCTGTTCATTATCTATCTATCTATCTATCTATCTATCTATCTATCTATCTATCTATCTCTCTCTATATATATATGTATATATATATATATATATTTCCATCTATCTGTCTATGTATCCATAGATCTACCTACTTACCTATGTCATATTTTCTTCTATCTATCTATCTATCTATCTATCTATCTATCTATCTTCGCCTATTCATTATCTATCTATCAATGAAGTTGACGAATTCTTATTAAGCGTCGATTACATCTTATGACCGGAATCTAATCTTTATCTTTTTTCTTCATGAGGATAGCTAATCCAATAACCTAAGCCTGACGATCCAAATTTGGTAACACGAGACCATCTTATTAAAGCAAAGTTTGAATTAACTATTCACAGAATGTAGGTCTCTCATTGGGACTTTCCCGGATTTGTATCTGCTTGCTTCATCTTTGTACATTTTTATAAAGGAATTTTTAATCCGACATCATTTCTTAATTATATAATAGATTTCCAGTAACATTCTTTTTATTTTCCTTTCAAAGAGTAAAGCGCATCAGATTAATTCCCATAGAAATATTTATAAATTTATTCCCATAAATATATTTATAAATTTATAAAAAATGCACCGGGAAGCTACGTTACAAGAAGGATATACAGAGAGACGAGAGACATGAATATATATATATATATATATATATATATATATATATATATATATATATATATATATATATATAAAGATTCCTCCATTAGGTCACGTAAAAAAGCGACATATCACGATGAAAAAAGGCCATAATTCAACGAAAAGAAAATTTTGTTTAAATTATGTTTATGTTGTTATGAAGAGGAAATACCAAAGTATTTTTTAAATATTTTTTGAAATTTTTTACTCCTTTCTAACACGTAGAAAATTTTGGTTAAAAAGTATGTTTTTTTTTTTTTAGCGCGAAAAGACTAAAAAAAGGTTTCTTTTATTTTGCGCTTTTCCCGAGGAAAACACACGTTAATTTAGGAAATTCTTGCAAAAATCAATTAATTGTTGGATTTTAATGAAACTTTCAGGACTTATTCAGAATTGAATGAAATTAATTTTGAAATTTTTTTTCAGAAAATCTCGTTAAAAAGAGATTTTTTTTAACATGTTTCCACCCACTTACATATTTTCATGAAATTTCGAGAAATTAAATCTTCACGCGCGGGGGTTTTTTTATTAGTTATAAACAGGACATTTTGTAGAAAGTAAATCACCTGTTTTTTTTGTAAAACATTACGCGGTTTCATAGAAAATCTGCTTTGAATTGTAAAAAAAAAATGTAAAAAAGTACGACATTAATTAATTAGAAAAGCTTCCATCTGTTTTTGTAGATACGTTATACTAAGGACATTATTTACGAATCGAACTTTGAAAAGCACAAAACAGTCGTTTGACGCGAAATATTTTAAAAATAATTTTAAAAAGATATTTTTATTGAAAAAAACGTTCATAATTTCTATGTATGGAAATGTATACCCTACATAATCCTTAAAAAGGTCACGTGATTTATGTCGTCTGATTATTTCTCTTCTCTGTCCAGTTCAGATTCACATCGTTAACGTGTTTCCAGAAATTCTTTTCAAATCTTAAAAGTAAGGGTTAGGGTTAGGTTTTAAACAAAGAAAGTATGAAATAAAAAAATATAGTACATAATTGCTGAATAAAAATGTTAATATTTAAAAAGTACGAGTTAAAACCGAAAAACCGCGTTCGCCTACTTTTAAGAAATTGTCAATTTTGATCATCCATAGTAGTTTGTCATCACCTCGTCATTTGCGAACGGGATGAAAGACATGCAAAAAATTCAGACACATCGTTAAGAAATGTTTGGATACAATTTTTTTAAGCTATAAGTAATGTTTGTTTCATATCAGATTAATTTAACTTTAATTTTTCTAATTTTACTCAAATAACGTGTCAAAAATATATAAATTTATTTTAGGAAGAAGTTTAAATTCAAAACTTTGTTTGTTAACAAATTTCTTAAAATTTAAGAAAATTTAAGAAAATGGCTGCTTTTAAGAAAATTAAACAAAAATCGAGCATATGTTTGACATCCCAATCTACATAATTTCTAACTGAAAAACACCAGAATATGTTACTTACTGTAAATAATAAATTCGATGCTTTAGCTTTCAATTAATAAAAACATATTTAAACAAAACTTTGTTTTGTTGAATTATGTCCCTTTTTTCATCGTGATATGCCGCTTTTTTACGTGACCTAATGGAGGAACCTATATATATATATATATATATATATATATATATATATATATATATATATAAATATATATATATATATATATATTATGTTTATAAATTCTTTTATAGATACAAGTAGTTAAGCAAATGTTCTGTTTATGATAAACAGTATTAATAACATTTACCGGCCTGAATGTCCGAGAAATTTTCACAGAAAATATTCGTCCTTCGACGTGAAAATTTCTCGGACATTCAGGCCGGTAAATATTGTTTAATACTGTTTATTATAAAACACAGCATTTTTTAAATATTTGTATCTATAAAAAGAATGTATAAACATAAATTGTCTTAAAATAATTGTCGGAATTTTCCATTTCATAATGTGTGACACACACACACACACACACACACACACACACACACATATATATATATATATATATATATATATATATATATAGATAGATAGATAGATAGATAGATAGATAGATAACTAGACTCGTTTCGAAAAACCCTCGAATTTTTGATTTGCTAATAATCAAATCAATCTCAAGGGAAAAAAAGGTTTTAAAAAAAGAAAGAGCTACAAACATGAACTTCTGCCGACAAAAAAATCGCACAGATGCAGGTCTGAAGCCCAAAGAAAAAACCCTGATACGAGTAAACAACTAACAAAAAAGAGCTCAATACAACCGTAGAGCAGACCTAGATACAACTAGTGAGCCAGACAAACCTACCTAAGTTTGTCTGGCTCACTAGGTGTATCTCTCTCTCTCTCTCTCTCTATATATATATATATATATATATATATATATATATATATATATGTGTGTGTGTGTGTGTGTGTGTGAACATAAAGTGCCAGGTAAACCTACTTAGGGTCAAATGACCTGACGATCCGCATAGGTGAAACCTAGGTAGGTTTACCTGGCTCTTTTAGGTTCATATTTAGGTTTGCTCTACTTAGTCTATTGAGCACTTTACGTAGTTACTTTTGCTTTACTCGTTTTGGAGGTTTTTTTTTCTTGGACACTGAGCTTGATTTCGCCTCAATTTCATGTTCTTAGTTCTTTCTTTTTTATCCCATATTTTTTCCTTGGGCATCGGTTTGTTCAATTACAAGCCAAAATACCTAAGGTTTTTTTTTCCAAACGCGTATACATATATATATATATATATATATATATATATATATATATATATATTAGCTGATGACAATTTAGGTTTTCTTCCACGCCCAGGCAAATTCTCTATCGTGCCAAACATTTTCAACTTCATTATAACGGACTGTACCGTAGATCTTGGGATAGCTAACCGGTTTGAAATAGTGCTGTAACTATTTCTCGACTTGTGGAATTAATAATTCTCTGGCTCAAATCAACGCTAATCTTTTTTTGTCTTCGCCATCGTGTTGTTAATGTAAGAATAACAGTGGTGACACTATGCAGCACGTGAAGTTCTTGCTGGAATTATCACAAATATTCTGCTGAATAAATAGTTTGATATATATATATATATATATATATATATATATATATATATATATATAAACAACATGGCATCATACGGACATTAGATTATGAAAAATGGATAAAAATATTCAAAATTGCTGGATGTAGAATAATTTCGTGTATATATACTAGGAAATGTACCTGGCGTTGACCGGGTGTACATGGCTGCAGTTGTATAACCGCATTTTCATTTATACTCACGTCCCGTGCCTAGAAATATTTGCCTGCGTCTCCGCTTGCAGATATCATCCGTTGTTACACTAAGCTACTCCTTCCTCAGCTTTTTTACGGTATGTCCTTCGTAATTGTTTGATTACTGCTAATGAACGAATTCCATTGATACAAACTTCTAGTGTGGTCGTTGCTTGGCGTTAAATTGTTTCTGTGTTTTAGATATTCAATAAATTTCCTATGGCCGTAATATCTGTTCACAGGTATAATAATCAAAGAAAAACAGGGATGAAGCGTCAGCTTGACTCAACTGCAAGTGCAAACGCAGGAACGTTCCCCTCCTTTTCGCAGGTTTACTTTAAAGCTGGGGTTAATAAGAGTTTCTTCGGTAACTTTCCCATTTTATCGCCTCAATAATCCTTCTCGAACAATCTTTGCATCAAAGGTTGTTCGAATGACAATTTAGAATGGAATCATATGAAGAAACTATTGGCTAAATGGTAAACGCCGATTTTGGGCCTAGTTTGCTGCAGATTTCGTTCACTTAACTGAAATAATCTATAACAAACATCCACGTAAGACAATTTGTGTGTCATATGTAATTTACATAGTAAATTTAGATGAAAAATCGCAGAGTTATGGCCTAAAAAGGGCTTTTAAACAGTTTTTCGGGAGAAAGCGAGAGAGATTAAGCCACACTATCTTATTTCTTTCATGATGACAAATTTTTGGCGGCACGTTTGAAAAAACTCGGATAAAAATAAGGAACTTATTCAAGTTTTACTTTGCATTTTTTTGTGAGGGTAGGGACAGGAAATTGAAAAGTTGTTCGTGAGCTACCTTTGTAAATTTTCGAAATGTGTATACAATTTCATTTGAAATCGTCCGAGAAATGTGGTCGTGCATAAATAGGATACACACACAGAGACTGACACACACAGGCATCATGTTTTGCATGTGTGTGTGTGTGTGTATAGAGAGAAAGACATAGATAGATAGATAGATAGATAGATAGATAGATTGAGAGAAATGTGCATATCTATGTATATATATACATATATAAATATGTATGAGAGACATCTGTATAGATAGATAGATAGATAGATAGATAGATAGATAGATAGATAGATAGATAGATACGGACATATTCAAAGATAGATAGATAGATAGATAGATAGATAGATACGGACATATTTACATAGGGACAAATTTAGAGATAGATAGATAGATAGATAGATAGATACGGACATATTCAAAGATAGATTGATATGGATATATTCAAAGATAGATAGATAGATAGATAGATAGATAGATAGATAGATAGATCAGGAAATGTTGGGCATTTCTCTCATCATCTGCATCTATCAATTATGCGTTTGTTTAAATGCCTGCGTCTGTATTTCCGATATAATTGTATATATATATATATATATATATATATATATATATATACATATAATTATATATATATATATATATATATATATATATATATATATGCGTTTGTGTTTACCAATATATGATTTCATTCCATTTTCACGAAGCCGTCTAAATTCAAGAAATATTTTTTCAATTTCCTATAAATTTTGTATCTATTTTAATATTCATCCTTTCAGTCGAAATCTCTGTCTCTCTCTCTCTCTCTCGCTTTCATTTCCACTCTCTCATTAACACTCAGTCACTCGCTTTCGCCCACTCTTTCCGCCTCTCTTACCCGCGTTTTCTCTTCTCACTCTCACACACACTCACTCTTAATAAGCCTTCGTCTATTGGCCAACTCATTTGAATCATTTATCTGTTTTCCACAAGATTTTTTCATCGGATGAGTCTCCACATTCAATCTATGTGTTAACGAGTGAAATTATCAGTTATTACCAATATCTGCTTTGTCCCATGTGCCTGTATCTTCTCGTTCTTTCCCTTATCCCATTTGAATATTCGTTGCTGCTTACTTATTTTACTCGAAACTATCTCTAACATTGAAAATTGCACCAACAAAGACAACGCAAATCTTTTCTTACTTCGCACGTCGGCTCTTGTCTCATCCTTTGCCTGTATCTTCTCGTATTCACCCTTATCCTTTTCTATATTCCTGGTTTTGTTTTTCATTTATTTTATTTAATATAAACTATCTGTAACCGTGAAAATTCCACCACGGATAACATCGCAAATATTTTCTTAATTTGCACGTCGGCTCTTGCCTCATCCTTTGCCTGTATCTTCTCGTATTCACCCTTATCTCTTTTCATATTCGTTGCTGGGTTTGATTTTCGTCCTAATGATCTGTACACGTGGACATCTCATCTGGGATAATAGCTATAATTTTATTTTATTCGTACGTTAAGATGTTCCTCCACCATTTACTTGTATCTTCTCATTTTCTCCCTTATAATCATCGTTATAGGTTCACGACTTTATATACCCCCCACACTAAATAAGGAATATAGAAATTCAAATATTTTATACTGAATACTCTCTGTCATGTTTCTTTTGCTCTGTCCATTCATAACGTATTGTTAATATCTCACAAGTTTTTGATTTTTTCTTTCTCTTTACGTTTCAATCATTTGGTGTTGTCTCTCTCTCTCTCTCTCTCTCCAGTCTGTCACTTTCTCTCTCACTCACTTTATTTCTCTCTCTCTCTCTCTCTCTCTCTCTCTCTCTCACACACACACACACACACACTCTATCACTCACTCTCTCTCTCACCTTCTTTCTCTCTCTCACCTTCTTTCTCTCTCTCACCTTCTTTCTCTCTCTAACTCTCTGTCTCTCAGTTCCTCTGTCAGTTTCTCTCTCTCTTCTTTTCACTCTCTCTCTCTCTGTCACTTTTTTCTCTCTCTCTCGCTCCTTCTCTATCAGTCTTTCGCTATTTCTCTCTGTCTCTCTCACTTTCTTTCACTCTCTCTCTCTCTCTCTCTGTCATTCTCTGTTTCTGTCACTCTGTCAGTTTCTCTCTCCCTTACTTTTACTCTCTCTATGTCAATTTTCTCTCTCTCTCTCTAACTCTCTCTATCTCTCGGTCACTCTGGCACTTTTTCACTCTCTCTTTCTGTTACTCCCTCTCTCTCTCTCTCTCTCTGACACTTTCGTTCTCTCTCTCTCTCTCTCTCTGTCATTCACTCTCAGTCACTCTATCACTATCTTTCTCTCTTTCTTTCAATCTCTCTATGATTTTCTTTTTCTCTCTCTCTCTTTCTTTCACCCTCTCTTACTCTCACTCTTCCTTCTCTCTCTCACTGTCTTTCACTTTGTCACTCTGTCACACTCCCTCTCTTTATCACACACACTCTCTCTCTCTCTTGGTCACTCTGTCACTTTCTCTCTCTTCCTTTCAATCTCTCTCTGTCACTTTCTTTTTCTCTCTGTCACTCCTTCTCTCTCTCAGTCACTTTCACTCTCCGTCTCTCTTTCTTTCACACACACACACTCTCTCTCTCTCTCTCTCTCTCTCTCTCTCTCTCTCTCTCTCTCTCTCTCTCTCTGTCACTATCTCGGCAACTGTCATTTTCTCTCTGCCTTTCTTTCATGTAATCTCTGTCATTTCCTCCCTCCTTCTGTCACTTTATTTCTCTCTTTCTCTCTCTCATCTATGTCGCTCTCTCTTTCACGCTCTCTCTGTCACTCTCACTGACTCTCTTTCTCTGTCACTTTTTTTCTCTCTCTCACTCGCTCTCTATCCGTCTATTTCTTTCTCTCTCTCTCACTTTCTGTTTCGTGACGTACATTGGCCGTTAATAATTATGTATAACTCAAGACTTCAATGTTAAAATAAAACAGTATTTAATTACAACTGCAAATAAATACTTAACAATAACAAAGAAATAAAAATCAACCAAAGATAATTAACCATTTCAGTGAATTCCTTGTTAGTAGCGCGGCTTGGATTAACGTAAATTCAAAACTCAAATCTTCGACACACACTAATTCGACTGGATAGTTACAATTGATCGTCACTCAATCATCACCCAATAATCACCTGTTATTGATAATATTGTCAAGTGGAAATCCAAAGACAAATTTGTCTGTGAAATGGAGCTGAAACATTGAAAAAAGAAATAATTTCCTGACTTTTCGAAAATTTCCATATATTATTAATTCCAACATTTTATGATTTTGTATTTTAATCATATCAAATGCAGTCGTCCGTTAAAGATAAGCCATTATACAAAATGAACAATAAATTCTTGCACTGATCAATATTATCCCCTTTAAAAAAGACCTCTTTGTCATCAAACGGATGCATCTTCTCTCCCCTATATATATATATATATATATATATATATATATATATATATATATATCCACAGACAGACTGTTTCTCTGTATCACAGCTCATTTTTCTGGTTAGACGTCCCGTTGCCTCTAGCTAGGATCAAAACCTGACTGAATTGGCATCAGTCGGGATTCTACCACTAAGCCGTTGGCGCACGGCAGGGATGAAAGCGAATTCAAGCGTATTGATTTTTAGATAAACACACAGGGACTGAGAGAACTCGAATCGCGTTGCTGAAGAGTTTTGCATTATTAGCAATAATAGTCACTGTTTTCAAATTCATACTTCCTTCCCCGAGATCTCAACCGAAAAATATATATATATATATATATATATATATATATATATATATATTGATGCATGTTTCATTAAATAATATAGACAAGTTGTGTCTATTTATTTTAAGTAAGTTCCTTTCATACTGTCTGATAAGCTTAATAACATCATCATTCAAAGACGAAAGGAAATCACCATATTAATACACGTTTAAATCCCACCTGAACTTTCAGCTTACATAAGCCATTATCAAAGATGGCAATATATCAACTAATACACGGACGAAACAATAATGATAGTCCGTTTTTGTTGCATGAAAAAATTTCAAAGAAACGTCTAACTCGTGTATACGAGACGCGGAAGCGAAAATCGCGTCGCAGCTCCTGACGTCACACATGACCACGCGAGAGTGAAAACGAGAAGTATTAAGTATGGGAATCCGTTGGTATAAGGCAATGGCTTCTATTATCAATTATAGGAATTTAACAATATTTGTGGAGATTTCGTAGTATATTTTGTTCAGGTTAGGTTTCAACAGTATATAGTTTCAAGAATTTTTAGTTTTTGTTGATTGTTTTCATGTTTAATTATATTTTCCGGAAATGTGTACGCGCCAAGGGATGTTGTTTTAAATGCCTAAAAATGTTAGAGTTATCATTAAAATATATATATATATATATATATATATATATATATATATATATGTATGTATTTAATTTTGTTTTAAGAGGTGAATTATTATTTTTAATTATATGGTTGACGGATTTAATTTTTTTTGTAATATATAATTAGTTCATAATTTGCTGTTGTCAACTGGTGTTGTACATTTTTTTAAAATAATATTCTTAATTCTAGTTTCATCTTTTTTGTCATTTTCGTTCATCTGATTTCTATAAAAAATATTAATGTTATTGTTTATGTTTCTATTCCCGTCAACCTTAAAGTTAAAAATAATAATTCACTTTTTAGAACAAAATATTATCGACGAATTTAAATATCCTTTAAGGAATTGTATTCGCGGTCAAACAAAATTCGTAAACAATTATATAGGCAGCACTACAACATGTTTGACAAGAAGACTCACACTACATCTTTCTGACCAAAGCTCAATTACGTCTCATTTAAATACTCATGAAGACCTACTGGACCCTATTCGTAACATACTTTTTGATAATGCAAATGTAATAGTATAGTTTATCTAAAACAATATTAAAATTATGGAAGCCTTATTAATAAAAACAAAAATAACACTTTTGAACATGGACACAATATGTTGACGTATTTGAAAACGAAAACATTATCTAAATACATATATACACCAATATATTTCCTGTTAACAGTTAATATATTTCAACCTTAAAAATGGATAAATGTATAGCCGAAAGTGCTCAGAAAAAAAGAACAGTTGGACAGTTTTTATATAATTTATTCTCCGAAAACAAAAATTAAAAACGAAATCAAAGCACCTTGTTTGTCATATTCAATGAAATGTGCATGAAAGAAGGATAGCTTCCCATATATATATATATATATATATATATATATATATATATATATATATATAATTAAGTAATTCATCGAGTCTAGAAGAAACCTAAACAAAATGCAGAAAGCATTGGACGGTCGTATATTTGGGACTCGGCAGCAGTGCGCATCCACTACCGAGAATTGAAACCTGGTCAGTGACGTTATCAGGCAAACCAACTGTACAAACGGGCCTCCATGATGAAATGGTAGCGAATTAGATTCGATATAACGCCGCTCAATCGATATATAGATTCGATATAACGCCGCTCGATCGATATGTGTGTGTGTGTGTGTGTGTGTGTGTGTGTGTGTTTGTGTGTGTGTGTAAGCAAATATCTGGATATAGATCCGACAATATAAAAAAATATACTGAAAAAACAAACAAAAATCCTAATATGCGATTATGCTGTTTTAATGTTTAATGTCAACGTCGGACGTTTCTTTCTAATAGACCATCTTCAGGACATATTCATAAAACATAATTAACATAGACCATATACAATTCAACATGAAAAAGACGATGGACATAAAATACCAATCCAAACAGATAACTGAAATTTTTTAACAAGATCAGCGTTCCGTTTAAATATGATCACGTCGTCGTCACGTAGGCGATGTTGTGAAAATTCCTGAAATTTGAGTATTTTGAATGAAAAACGAAAATAATTTTATTTTGATCTAAAACTGAGGCGCATTTATGAAGCAGGCATAATATCTATCTCACGCACGGCGAACACTAGACCTGGCTTCTTTAATATTTCCCCTTTTCTAGCAATATTAATGCTCTAAAAACGTGCATATAAGTTTTAGAGCAAAAATAAAATTATTTTCATCTCGTGATTACTGGCGGCTCTGTAACAGTGTAGTAAATAAGTGTAAGGTTTCTATTCTCCCTTTCTTCAGTCGATTTGAGTCGTTATCATCCTCTGCTAAATGAAGCTGAATGCTTCGCCCGTAGATTCTCCTTAAACTCTACTCTTGATTAATCTGTAGTATCCTGTCTAACTCCCCACTTAGAACTGAGTCTCTGTTGAGTGATACGCATATAGCTCCTTCTATGGTTACTGCTATCATCTATAACCATGATCCCCAGAAATTATGTGGACCCGATGGTATCCCTGTAAGAGTCATTAAGAATTATGCTCTCGAACTGGATCCTGTTCTCTGTAAACTGTATAATAATTGCCTCCTCCTTTACTTCCTGCTGGAAATCATCATCACTTGATCGTGTTTTTAAGAACTCAGATGAACTGCCCTAACCTTTCAACTATCGGCCTTATTAGCCTTTCACCTCTCTTTGGGAAACTCCCAGAGGCCCTAATCAATGCCGAATTGGTTAAGCATCTCTCATTGCTGAGTCTTTTCAGACAAGCAATATGGCTTTCGTTTCTTCAACTACTAGTCGTCTTCGATGGTTCGATCACGCAGTTCGACGCCAGGAGGGAGAGCTCATCCGCGATGTATTTCTCCCTCCTTCTCTTCCTGGCTGGCGAAAACGTGTCGGTGGGCAGCTGAGGACGTGGGCTAGCACAATCAAGGATGACCTAGCAGTACTATCGGGTCCACAAGTAGTTGGTCTTCGACGATGGAATCGCGATTGGCTCGCCATTTCGTGTGACCTGGCTCAGGATCGGCGAGCGTGGGCAGCGATGGTCCGGGATGCTGTACTTGCTCGGGAGGAAGCCCGTTCAACCCGACCAGGGTGAAAACCGATACAAGTCAAGTCGAGTCTACTAACGATAATTGCGGAAAGAGTCTATCATGCTCTACATAATAATGGTTAAACTCGGGCTATAGCATTGGATATCTCTAAAGCTGTTGACAGGCTTTAACATAAAGGTGTTCTCCAGAAGCTGAAAATTTATGGGGTATCCGGACAAACTTTTGAATTGTTCTGATCTATTTTTTAAACATTTCACCACAGCAAGGTAAGAGTACCACTAGCACGCAAAGAGTTACAGAACTCAATGAATAAAAATAGCAAAAGGCGAATGAGACCCTTGAAAACTTTCGGCAGCAGCAACAACAACTAATGTGGACATCAAATTTATCTCAAACAGAAAATAACGACATATTCAAAATGTTATTGTTCCACCCTATATCGAACAAAAGGTTAGGAAGGAAATTCCGATCAAGACTTGAAAGAGCGACAACAGTTACTGGTCTTGAGAAACCTATTTTCTTGTAAATTTGTTTTAATACAAAGATTTTATAAATTTCAACTAAAAATACTGCAGACTGCTTGGCCAATGAACATCAAATTCATTTACCATTATCAGCTCAGAGCTTTACAGCCTTGCCACATTAAGAGGGTTGAAACAGACTCATTCTCTACGTAACAGGGACGTTCCAGTGAAAGTAAAAGTAAAGAGGGGGTTTTTGAGGAAAAGATATAGAAAAGGACGGCGATCAGGATCAAGGCATCAGAAGATGTCGATTGACATTACATTTGAATATTTGAAGATTATAGTTATCAGGGAAGCAAGTAAGAGGAAGGGAGTTCCAAGATTTTTTTAAGCATATCACCCCAAGCAAGGCGGGAGTGCTACTAGCTC